TTCTCCCCCCCCCCCCCCTCATCTCTCCGATCCTCCAGTCCTGACTGGAGGAACAGACAGGGAAGGGGACTGGCACAGCTGGCTCTGCCTCTAGAGAAGCAGAGCCCGCTGTCAATCAGCCCGCGGGGTGGATCTCAACAGTATTGTCGGGATCCATCGCGGCTGAGGCGCTACTCTACGCTCTCGGCATATAGTGGGCAATAGCTGAGTTTTGGATCACCGGAGGACATTAGTATATGTCCTCCCCTGACCCTGAAGAGAACTATGGGCAAAAAAGGTTCCCCCGCAGTTCTTCTTTTAAGCAACTGTGCACTTCCAACTTCCACAACAGTTAGGTAAAAGCCTTTCGTCTTTGTTTTTTGTGTCCCCGCATGGCTATGTCCCTGTTCAGAAAGCCAGCTCCATGACGGCATGGCTTGGTGAGGAGGCACTCGAGTGGCCTGCCTAGAGCCTGACCTCAACCCCACTGAAGACTTTTGGGATGAATTGGAAATTATTGCGAGCCAGGTCTTCTCGTCAAGCACCTGTATCTGACCTTACAAATTTGTGGGTGCAATTTCTACAGACACACCCATCTTATTGAAAGGCTGCCCAGAAGAGTGGTGGCTGTTATACATGCAAGGACGGGCCAAATCTATATTAATGACCATGATTTCGAAATGGGATGTCAAACAAATTCACATACACTGAGTGGCCAGATTTTTATGACCACCCCATCAGTACTTCGTTGGGCCACGAGATAACTCCACCAGATGACTTTGTTGGGCCACGAGATGACTCCACGATATGTTGAAAGGTTATGCGAGGAATCTGACACTGCACTGTTGCCCCTTCTGTTGTCTTGTACCAGTCTTGCCACTCTCCGTGCTGCCCTAACATTGACTAGTCGCTGGCGGCCACAATTCGCACGATCAGACCCAGATTTTCGGCTGACAGTCCAGTCTTTAAACACTTTAACAACAGCTGCTCTTGAACATTTAACACATTCTGCTGTTTTGCTGATACTCGCTCCATGGCTCCGAGCACCAACAATCATCCCACGTTCAAAGGCTGTTAAATCGCATTGTTTACCCGTATCTTCAGAAAAAAATCACTTCTACTGTCGTGGTAAACAACCTGCTTCCCTATTTATAATGGTCTGGCCCTCTAGCAACTTCAGCACAAAATTATAGCTAATTTACCTACAAACGTCAGGTGGTCATAATAAACTGGCCACTCAGTGTATATGTTATTGTCAGGTGTCCACAAACATTTGTCCATATAATGTATATGTGACATATTTGGCAATATTTGTAAATTTAGAAATATAGATTTGGTGCTGGATTCACAACATGTATGCTAAGAACAAAGAGCATTTACCTCAAAATATATCCATGTTGCCCCAATTACAGTAAAATTCTTCCAATCCTATTTTCTGCAGCCTGTGCTTTGCATGCCCTAATGGCACAGCTACCCTCTCTGTGTGTAGAGGAGATTTACTTCACCCAAGAAGAACTGATTGAAATGACGATGGCTCTCTGTTCCCTGCTTTCCAAAAATATCCTCCTCCAGCCAGTATGTATCTTTAATTCTCAGCTCAAGCCACAGCTTTTTTGTATTGGGGATGGAACAAGCAAGTGTTAAAAGCTCTATTTACTTTTTATTGCTGTCTGTGTCCCCAATTGGAAGATTTTCTCCCAAAGGAAGCGAGACAAAATGTCCCTACTTGCTGTCTAAATGACAGGTGGCAGACAGAATATGAGACGAAGGGAAATCTTCCCAGTGGGGACACTTAAAACCGACATGGGCTCCAACTTTTTTCCACTCTATCCAGAAAAGAAAACGTTTTGGCTAGAGTTGGGCTTTCTTGTCTTTTTGGTTGTTTTTTCTTTTCTCTAGAATTGTTAGATGTAAAAGCGGAGGTGTCATTCATTGAGTCATTGTCAGTTAATGAGATGATTACATGTGTATATTGAGTGGCATGCTATGAGAGTTACTCAAATTAAACAGAAAACAAACATTATTTTGTGTTCATGTTTGTAATAAAATGTTTTCGCATATTATTCATAATGCATCATTTTTAGCCTGCTCAGTTTTTGTAAATACTTAGACATCAGGTAAATATTAAATTAGGCAGCCTTTGCTGAATTCACATGGGAAGTGTAAAACGCAACATGTGACTTGAAGCCAAGGTTTGGGACCAGGTGGTGAGAGGCACCAACCAACCGCCAGTAAGAGCGCTTTCTGTTTGAAAAAAACACTGCCGTGCAATTATCAGCAACATTGTCAAACTGCCATGTGCACGGCTTCCTCAGGTCTGCAGGAGGGATGTGCCCTTTCGGCTGCCTGTCGGGTCTGTGTATACCTCCTGCAGACCTGTCCATTCCTCCTGAAATTTATACCAGGAGCATTGCATTTCTGTGTGGACAGGTTGGCAGACACTATTCATCTGCAGGCCTCTGCTTCCAGAACCAAGCCAAAGAGCCCAGCTTAAGTACACGCCCTGGTCCCCCAAGCCTACCAAACCGGTTCACATGCCCTCTTTGCAATGAAGCAGTGCCCCCACTTGTGCAAGTGGAGGGTAGTGTGTTGGCCTTTGCGACAGTTTAGGAGTGGGAAGTCCAGGACTCTTAGGTTCACTCCATTGTTTCTCAGGATTACCAGCTGAATTTGTAAACTTCTCCCCCTGTACGCTTCATGCTAGGGCTGCATCCAACTAATCGATCGATAATGAGAATAGTTGTCAACTATTCTCATTATCGATTAGTTGGTTGGATCCCCTAGCTCTCTCATCCATGCTGGGAGGAGGGCACAGCAAGCCAGTGGGCGGGTGCAATAGCCAACCTGCTATTAGTATTGCAATTTGAAATGGCCAATAGCAGGCTGCACGCGCCCACTACCTGATGTATTTACATTTTGCTGCCGTCTGCGGAATCTTGCCACTGGCAGCCGTCATTCCCTGGCTGAATCTATTCAAGTGCCTTGTGATTTACAATATACAGTGTATGTGTGTGTATATGCATATGTATGTATATATGTATGTATGTGTGTGTGTGTATGTGTGTATGTGTGTGTGTATATATATGTATATATATAAAGTCATTTTCAGCTTGACAAATTCTGCTGTGGGAGGTGTGTTGCAGCTCCCACTCAGTGTGATCGCCCGTGCTGGAACGCACAGTACAGCAATGCTGTGCGTCCCAGCGCAGTGTGATTGCAAGAAATTGTGCATGCAGTTTTAATCTGAAGTAAACTTTGTAACACTTTATTTGTGTATTTTATTTTCAATTAAGTATTGTATTTAATTTTTTTTTATCTGATTAATCGAGAAAATAATTGGCCAACTAGTCGTATATGAAAATAAACATTGGTTGCAGCCCTACTTCCAGGGGTGGGAGAAGCCAAAGATAGACTTTGCAAAGTACACTTCCTCTTAACATGTCACAAGACTCTGACATAAGCTGGATACACACTGATTACATCTTAGGTGCTTTCTTCCAAAATTTGATCGGTTGAAGGACTCTATTCCCTTGACAGAAGTCGATCATTAGATCAACTTTTGCCAAAGGAACATGTTGTGAATTTCTCGTCCAAATGGTGGTTGCGGCCAGTCGGCTGCAAGCACAATTTGGGTATCCTGTCAGGGGCTGGCACCACTGTCAGAATACGTTATACAATTGTTTATTGATTTTTTAAACAATACTCCATATATTTTACATATTACAAAGTAGACAAACATTCAGCAATAAAACAAAACCATACATTTACAATATTCCCCTCCAGCTTTTATATTTTACTAATTATTCATAAACCAATTTATATATGCACGGGGCTATACACATCTATTACTCCCTTTTAACACAAGTGGTTCTGTTTGTAATTATCTGTGACCGTGACAGTGGTGATTACCTTAGGAACT